AGCTGAATTCTTCTACGACATTGGCAATGTTAGGCTACAAGCTAGCTTGAAGGAGTGCGCAGAGCAGCGCTGTCTCCGCCCACGACTTAGAGGGGAATTACTAATTAGCTACTTCATAACTTCATAATCACATCTTAAAGACCACTGAGAACACTTTAGGCAGTAATAAAAAAACGATCAGAGTGGGACTTTAAGTGTAGAAATGCTATTTGTCAAAGCCAGGCTCCTTCTTTTAATGTTTAGTTTTACTAATCGTCTCCTGGTCTTTATTTCTTACCTGTTGGACAAACATAGTCCGCCTTCTTCACATTTTCCCATCAAAGAAATATGTTCCCAAGATCTGATCCTAACCACCCCTGACATATTGTAGATTTCCTATACTATTACATCACACGTAAGTTTACAATGACACTAAACAGTCCAGCACAGAGCAGCTGTGTCCAATATTACAACTGTGTCCAGTCCAAACTCGCTCACATGAACTCCAGCTCGATCAAAACTGTATCGCTGCCAAACACTCCATTTCATTTTACAGATACAGCCTCACCTCATGTCATTCTTTATAACCCAATACAAAGTACCCTTTCAGCTACCAACCCCAATTCCTGACACAATTACCCCCTCGGACCCTGACCGCCTCTGGTCCCGTCTCCAGGATGGTGCGAACCCATCAGGCCAGACAGCATCAATAAGTGCCTGACAGGCCTTGGACGAGCCTCATTCTCAGACAGCAGTGGCGAGATAAAAGACAAATGAAGAATAATTGACTCTCAGCTCTCGGCCAAAGGGATTAGTATGACTGAAGTCTCGGGATCTTTTCCACTTTCTCCCCCTCCATCTCCGTCCGTCTCGCTCTCTCCCCATCTGTCTCCCAGTCCCGTTTGCTGATCTGTTTCTTGCTGCACTATCCCAGAACCATACTGTTCTTTAATACCCAGCAGGAATGCAAACTTATTAAAGACATCAATAAGATGGTTAAAATCCACAGAGAAGACATGTCCCTTTTCACTGACCTGTGCTTGTGCAAATGCTGAATCTGTTTTTGATTAGTTTTTATCACAGGCAGCTTCAGAAAGTTAAAAAAAGGCTCATTAGAGACAAACAAACTCATACAAGTTTGTTGTGTACTCACACTATCATGCAGAAAGCGGTGATATTTTTGTACGTGATTGAAGGGACTTGTTATTTGAGTCGGTACCATCAGTGATAAATCCAGTCTTCTTTGTCGGATTAAGATGTTTCTGTTCCTGTCTGTGGGGAACTTTGTTACGTAAGGACCCGGTTGTGATTTGAAGAGTTCTCATAGTAGGCTGTGAACTTTGGAAACCCTCCTGGTTTGTTCTTATTTCCTTGCTGTAGAACAGCAGCAGGCATCCAGGGTAATTATGGTGGGAGAGAATAAGAACATTCAGCCGGTCATGAATTTTTATAATTGGAACAGGAACAGAAAAAAAAAAATCTTATGAGGCTTTTTTATTTTTAATACATCTTGTATGTCAGGTTGACTGTTCGTGATGTGCCAGAAAACAGCTTCAAAGTGTGAGTGCAGGCTGTTTTCGCCTGCTGTTCTTCCTCTTCTCTGCCTATCTGGTGGACAATGCTGCAGGAGTCTGCATCCGTCAACAGAGCCGTCAATCACGGCATCATCCGCTCTTCTCACATCGACAAACTGAGCGGAATTCTCCACAAGTACAGTCAATAGTCAGTCAATCTTTACAAGAACATACTCTGTTTAAAGGGACGCAACGTAAAGACGGGATCAGATCAGACCCACTTCCATCCCATCTTTAACCACGACTGTGGCACTTCACAGCGTTTTGTTTACGTGATTTTTATGATGTTGCGTTTGTCTGAGTATCATGGGTCTTACAAACTGTTACAAACACCATAGCACTGTGTTCACAGTTAGACGTTGGGCAGTACGACATAAACCACTTATTTAATTTCACAAAAACAAAACAGAAATGCTAATAAATAATACGTTACAAGAGTTTTCACTGTTACTCTTTACTGTTGATGCACTGCGCTGCCATCTTGAATTATAACGTTGTCGTCAAGTTGGGGTTGGTGAGGATCGTCCGACATTCCGAGTCGGAAATCTGACTTCAGGGGCGAAATTCTGATTTAGAGCTCCAACATTTTAACTTCCGAGTACAACTGGAACGCAGCATCAGTCCTAGTTTACTCGATATGATTCAGACTAAATCGCTTGTTGCTATGGCGGCAGAGGAAAAGAGAGTAGAAGAGGAAGACCATGAGGCGGAAGAGTGAGGACAGCCTACTTTCTGCGTTTACCTACTTCGCAGCATGCTACATGTGGGTTATCTTGTATGAAGAGCTGCTGTGTTACAGCTGTGTTTGTTTTACCAGTCACCACCAGGGGGAGCTCAGAAAGTTTTGGCTTCACTTCAGAGGATAGATGATCTTTGCATGAAACAGACACTTGCCCCGAATAGCCGTGTCTTCTGTATCCTCTTCTGTTTATCACACTGTCTAAAGTCGTCAGCGGACAGTTTATATATAAGCTCATTTGTGAATGGAAACTCGGTCAGGGTGTTGAAGCCCCTTCCTGCATCTGTGCGTATCTCTGTGTGCAACAAAGAGACATGTGTTGAAGACTTAAAGGATGAGGATCATATGATGTATGTTTGTGATCTGAAACAAACGTATGAGGCAGAAAATTCCAGGACCTGATGTGAGCGATCAGATGACTATTGAGTGAAAAAACATCTATATCATGTATGTCTCATCCTCGAGGGTATTTACTCTGATTCTCTCTCCACTCATACAAGGATGACTGTTTTATGATAAACCATGTAGATAAAGAAGCTCTAATTCCAGTGAATTCCAGTTTCTACTATATTCAATTAAATCCACCATAAAGACAAGATATTTAATGTGATGCTTCATTTAATTTTGACACTGCAACACGTTCTTAAAAAGTTGGTACAAGGTCAATAAAAGTCTGGGAAAATTGAGGACTGTTCCAAAAACACCTGTTTGGGTCATTGGTTCAGCTGTTCACTAGCAAGGATTGGACCAGGTTCACCATTTTGTCAACAACTGCGTGAGAAAATTGTCCAACAGGTTATGACCATCTCTCAACGTGATTTGATAATCTATGATCCATGAAATCATCAGAAATCTCTGCAAGGTCAAAATCAACATTTAATATCTGTGACCTTTGACTCCTCAGATAGTACTGAATTAAAAACCAACATTATTCTGTGAAGGATTTTACCACATGGGCTCAGGAGGACTTCAGAAAACATCTACAACTGCAAATTCTCTGGACCTGAACTCATCTGAGACGGACTGATGCAAGGTGGAAAAGTCTACTGTGGTCTGACCCGTCCATATTTCAAATAGATTTTGGAAATCATCCAGACTGTTCTCGGATCAAAGGTGAAAGCCATTGTCTATGTTGGTATGGCTCCATTAAGGCTGAAAAAGTACCTACAGGTCCAGGAGCAATATATGCTGCCACACAAGCGACGTGTTTTTCAGGGATTTCAGCAGGACAACACCAAAACGCATTCTGCACGTGTTACAACAACGTGGCTTTGTATGAAAAGAGTCAGGATACCAGACAAGCCTGTAAGTCTAATATTGAGTAATACACAACTTTTAACCCTAGAACACTATTGCTAAAATTAGTAACTCCATCACTATCCCCGGGTGATTTTTGCCCAAAATAATACACCCAAGAAAAAGGATTTGTCATCAGAATTCAAAATAGTAAAATACATGACAAATTAAAGTAATTTTCTTTTATTTTTTACCGGGCAATGTCCAAAGGGAGGGAAAAAAGTGCCATGAGGGGACCATATAAAAATGCAACAAATAACTGAAATTAGGCATTCATCAACAAAAAATTCCAGAAAAATATAGAAACTATAAACTTAGTTTCTTTTCCACCCATTCCTGGGGCTTTGTATTCTTCCCTGGTGAAGATTCAAGGTGCTTGGCACAATAGCAGCTGCAGGAGAGAGAACCAAAATATGGCATAGTTTGAGTGAGTAAAAATGATCAGCTGACTAAAATATTTCCTACCATATGAATTCCCTTTAAAATCACTACTTTGTGATAGTTATTCATAACCACTGCGCTAAATAAAGATAGTATGCAAATTTCAGGACCACTCTTACTGACCTTATTCGCCTACATGCAGCTATCAAATCTACCCAAACCTACTTTACCCTCTAACACTATTGCCGGGTGAAAATCACCTGAACACGCTTTGGATCAAGGAAACAAACATGCCTTCAAAGATGTCAAAGGCAAAGCTGAAGCTACCCAGGACCCATGATACTCAGACAAACGCAACATCATGAAAATCACGTAAACATGTTTGGTCGGGTGAAAAGCACCCTGTGATAGAGTTCTAGGGTTAATAGGGGGTGTACTGACTTATGCTGGGCACTGTATGTATATATGTATAGAAAACTATTTCCATAAAGATAATTGTATTTGGTGCTGACCACTCCTGAAGGTCTGATCCTACCATCACTCCCTCAAAACCTTCTGTGATAGAAGCAAACATACACATACAAATTCAACACTCTTAAATCAAACTCATTTATAAAGATTTCACATGTTCAGGTCTGTTATTTCACTGTGGTGTAGATTAGCATGACGCTGTCCTATAACGCTCTTTATTGGCCAGCTGCTGTTGTGAAACACCGTCTCCCTACGGCGATGATGTGGCGACATGCTATGGGCTGTTAAGTTCCTATGGAGGACGAGACCTTTTCATACACTAACAAAAGGCCTTTCACTGGAGCAATTTCCTCCGGCTAATTTGTCATTAATCAAATAACCAAACAACAATTATCACCAGCTGACCTCAAGCCAGGTTGTTAATCCCTTTTCATCCCTCCATCCTCACCCTGATGCTTTGTTGAATAGAACCAAACACGGGATGTGGACCTGAGCTTTGTCGGAGTACATGTGGCGAATTTGCTTCACATCCCATTTCTAGTCATCTACTACTCCTCTAGTATACAAGGCTGTCCATCCACCCACCCATCTTACCAATCCACCCACCTCTCCTTCCAAGTGCACACCATTATAGAACATTATCATTCAGTCTGTCTGGCTGCACTCTGCCAGCGGCCTTGTGCTGCCCAGCATCCTCCCCTGATCTCCCTCGATCCCTCTACTAAAGACCTGGAACACAGAGTCCTCTCTCCTGAGTCCATGTGGACCATCTGTGCCTCAGACAGGATGGGAGAGCCGAGCCGAGCCGCTGCCTACATGCAGGATGTCCAGGGTGGCTGAGATCAATGTGAGGGGTGTAGATGAGTGAGTGAAATGAGCATTGATTGCCAGGCGGCGGTGGCGGCGGCGGTGGCATGCTGCCAGCGGGGGGCCGAGGCTGTAACACCCACTCGGGGCCGTGATTTCTGGAGGAGATTCTTATTTATGTGTGAGACGCATTCGTGTGTTTTTCCTCTTTATCTGCGAGATCCTCGATGCATGTGAAATTCTCATTAACGCCGCACAAACTCGAAACCTTCCTCACAAGTTGTCGCTCCTTAGTGAGTCGCGTACAAGAAGTACTTTACGGTCCTGCGCCGGTTTCTCTCTTCATTTGGTAAAAACAAACAAAAACCACACAGCTATACTTTCTATATCCCCCCTGCGCTCCTTTAGAAGTGTCTTCTCATTATTTCACCCCCCTGCTGGTTCTCAGGACAACACCACCACTTAGAAAAAAAGAGACTTAACAACCTAAACAAGGCGGATAACCTTTTAAATTGTGCAGCGGATCTGACCCTGAGCAGCTGTTTGAATAGGACCAAATTAAGCTTTAATACGGAAACTTGACTGATGAATTTTTAAACCCCTCACTGGCTCGAAAAACAGAGCGGAGCACCAAGAGTACACAGAGGTTTCACATCTAAAGAGAGACTCTCATTTACAGTTAAACAAACTTGTGGAAATCCAACACATGGGTCCAGTTTGTTCCTTCTTCAAAGCTTTTTTTTATCTTATACGGATTTTCTCTTGATTTAGTAACTTGAAGTGTTTTTAAGATCCCTGTTTTCCCTGTTCATGGTCGACTATCTGTACTTTCTGTGTGCGAACAGAGATATGTAGTCATTTTGACACACTGATTGGTGGATAAACCAAGAGATGGCCAATTTAACATCAGATATAAAACAGTGATGGAACGGGGAGGTTTTTAAAAGACACAGCAGGCGCAAACATGTGTGCTTTGGTCGCACACAGATGAAATAAACAGATCTTTGAAGGTTTCGCGCGGCGTGATAGCTCCAACACCAGTGAACACAACTACAAACCTGTTTATGTGGGACATATTGATGCAGTGACAGAGAGATAAAAGTCGTCTTTCAAAGCGAGTGATTTTAATGACGTCTTGATGTGTCTACCAGCTCTTGTGGACTGTCACACCTGAGTCATTTTTGGTTCTGAATCAGGGTCCTGTTTGGTCAGATAAGGAATAAAACAAGTGATCTGAGATCGTCTTGCAAACCTAGTCTTGGTGAGGTCATCTGATTTAGCAGAAGAGCTGGTACTAGGTCGGCAACATAGACTGTATAAACTATGGATATACTATGGATAACTTGGCTCCGCCTTCAGTCATTTGAAGCTTGAATTGTTTTTGGTATTTCCTGAATTTTATCCACTTCCTGGAACCACCACTCACGCAGTAGCGTTGTACGCGTTCGGCGAGAGTTGCTGTGATGATGCTCAACTCAGACAGGATATCCCCCGGGTGAGCTACGTAATCTTCGTACACCCATTGGTTGGATCAAGTGTCAATCATAGAAAACATGAACCCTCTAATAACTTTTAAAAACGCCTTACCCCCAATTTCCACCGTATCTGGAACAGCTACAAAAAGGCCGTATCCGCCGATCATAGCTGATCGTAACTATTCAAGTTAATGCGTCAGTTTCCACCGGCTTCTTTCCGTTCCACCTCGGATCACCGGACTCCACAGCTCCATGTAGGAGCATGCCGGATAAATTTAGCACAGATTAACCTGTGCTGGAAAGGAAGTCAGACACAGACACAAGATAAAACATCTGGCTTCTTTTCAAAATAAAACACTGTGGGTTCTTGTGAGTTCTCGTGATTCCTGTTGTCTGTAATCCGCCACAAATCTGCCTCACAAACGGATCCAGTAGGAATTGGCATATGGCGAAAATCACCGCCATTCCGGATGCGGTGGAAATCCCGGGTTACAGTAACTTCATGTCAACCTCACAAGCAGGGGGGAGAAAAATGTACAATATTTATATTCTGTGTCATAAATTTCTAAAGTTTGTCCACAGCTCAATAGGGATTGCTTGAGGAGGAGGGATTTATGACCTATACTGCAGCCCGTCACAAGGGGGTGCTGTTCTCAGGGTGGCTTCACCCGGCGAGGAGGCAGACAGCGTCCATTCTACATGCAGTCTATGGTCGGCAACATCCACCAGTTCAACAACGGGTTTATGCCCAATAACTTCTCATTCTTCTCATCACTGGAGCCTCTATTTTCGAGTCTCAGAGTCTCTTGGTCTTAATGCAACATGCACACATTTGAAAATCTTTATATTGTTTAGTGTGATGTCCAAAATTTGACAAATATGCTCATCTACCTAAAAGACTTTGAGGTATTGGACCTCCATCCTGCTCCTCCTCTCCCTGGTTGATGAACTAATATTAGTCAAAGTCTCATGATGCAAAGTGCAACAAGTTATTTTCTGTCATGTGTTATGCAGATGAGACCTTTGATTCGATTCGTATTTGTTCCACCAAATCTAAAAAGAAATGATTATAAATTTGTTTGAAAAAGTTCAGAAAATGTGCCACATTTGAATTTCATGACTTTCCACATCCTGAAAACGATGAAAAATTTGTGCCTCATTTTGCATGTGCATGTGCAAATCACTGCTATTGTGGCTTATCAGGAAACACTGCGCCGACCTGAAATCCAATTCGGTGCAGTCCTGCTTAGTGAAGACTTTCCACAAGCCTCTTAACAAAAACGTGTCCCGCTATTTGTATCACTTTGATTTTATGGTGAATAAGTTTTCCTCTTTTTATGTCGTAAGAATTGTTGCTTAATCTAAATGCAAATTTGGATATTTGTGCAGCCATGTGACTGCAGACTTTGTTCAGCACACTAATTATAGAAATGAGATGCACTGCTCTGCCAGCTTCCAGTCTGTGGGAGAAAAAAAAAAAAAAAGAAAAAGAAGGTGGGTCAGTCTGACTTCACAGTCACTGCGTCCCGGTCCTGGAATAACCCAGAGAAATAACGTTTGCAGCCATCTCTGAGCCGAAGAGCCTTTTTTCCCTGCGGCTCTTCCTTTTTTTCTCCAATCTTTGAGGACTCTGGACTGACACAGGCTTTGCAGTCCAGTTCTGAGAGGACTCAGAGAGGATAAATGTGGAGAAGAAGCTGCGAGATTCTACAAAACTGCTTTTATTATTGCAGAAAAAACAAACAAGAAAAAAAAAAAAAACTCAGCAGCACCCGGGCTTCTTCGTCCACGATAAACTATCTCCTAAGTGGCCTTTTTTGGGGTTTATGACTCTGATCAGTCACGCTGTGCATCAGCGCTCCTGTCATGAAACATTCTGAGCACATCAGCCACAGAGCATGAATACTTTATAACTGCAATAAAGCATGCATTTACGGTCCCTGCAATTATGATGAGTCATTGCACCATGCAGGCCCTAGGTTACATTTCTTATAATTATCATCATGTTGACAAAATTCAAGCTTTGCTATAAATGAAAAAAGAGCTCATCATCCGCAGCTGTGTGTGTGTTTGAAATGTTGCAAAGAGCCGAGTCACGAAGAGAGGAGCAGAGCGAAATCTGGTCAGGTGTTTATGGGCGGCATGTGGATCACAGCGAGCGGAGGAAGCTGCAGAGCTCTGGCTGTCGGTGTACACACATGGTGCACAGATGAGGAAGGATTATACTGATGCAGATACACACATGCATACACACACGAGTGCACACATTTGCTACCACTCGAGATTGAGATGGAAATTCCTCACATGAAACGCTCTCAGACATGGAAAATTAAAATGATATGGATACTTACAGTGATGCATCAACTGTTGTAATATTTCACTCCTCTACATCCTGGGTGCATTATGTTCCTCAGGGTTTAAAAAGTGCATGTCTCTAGGATTATAATCCAAGTCCAGGTCAGAGTCCTCAAGGTTGCCTGTTTTAAGGGATATCCGGCGTAAAATTAATTTAGGGTCAAACACACCATAACACCGAGTTAGACACCCACTTGAGAGTGAATGTTGCCGACCTCTTGCTTCTCTAGTTATAACAACTTTAGTAACGACCACAAATAATGCTCAGAACAGCACCTAACTTCATCAACAGGACATATAAGGTCCTGACTCCAGTACTAGCGACCAAACATCTTTTTAACTTTGCCTAATTTCTATAGCAAAGAAACTAAACTCTTCCAGCAGCCGTTTGTTTGTAGTGAGACCTCAGTCCAGCCCATTACAGACTACAGTGGGGTGACACAGCACAAGGAAGAACATATATGATCATTTCTTCATGGAAATGCAATCCAACACAGGAAAACATACAAACTAGAGACAGATACTTGACTGAAATTGGTGTAAAGGGAATCCACCCAATCAGAAAAACTGTCTGGACATGGTGGAAGAACTATATGCAATGGAGAAATGAATGCACGCTCTACGTCTCCAGCAGGAAACAAACACCCGAAAGTGGGAAAAATGGATCAAATATAAATCTATTCACATTACTTTAAAAAATTGACAACTTTGATGGAGGCTACAGGGACAATTTTATTTTCTTCTCTGTGAATGACACCTTGTTTTGTGTTTGTACTTGTACTAAGGTAGAAGAACTACCGTGTCTGCAGTGCAAAATGATTAATATGGTGATTATTACTTGAATGAAATGATGAAGTAATGACCATAAATGTTCTTCCTTGAGCTGTGTCACCCCGCTGTAGTCCGTAATGGACTGGCCTGAGGTCTCGCTACATACAAGCAGCTGCTGGAAGAGAGTAGGTGAGTTGTGTTTAGTCTCTTTGCTAAAGAAATCAGGCAAAGCTAAAAAGATGTTTGGTGGCTAGTACTATGGCTCGGACCCTATATGTCCTGTTGATGAGGTTAGGTGCTGTTCTGAGCATTATTTGTAGCTATAGAGTGGCGTTTTGGTTTAGGTTTGTTTATGGCTCCTCAGACCACTGTGTATTGCTATTGGTCATTACTAAAGTTGGTATAACTAGAGAAGCAAGCGGTCGGCAACATTCATCTCTGGATGGGGTGTCTGACTCTGTGTTAATTTTACACCGGAATATCCCTTCAAGATGCACTAATGTCTGTAAATTCATACTCCCCTGTTCTTCAATTGTCAATCATCAGCACTGCTTTTTTGGTGTCCATTTAATGTTAGAGAGCACAGATTATCTATTTTAAAAGTAAACTTCTTAACGGTTTATGAGGTGAAATTCTGGATTTGCTGTGTAATATTCAGCCTCTTTAATTAACGGACTTAATTGTCTTGAGTGTCACAAAACTGAGATTTTCCTCTTCCACCTGTGATTCTTTGTTTATACTGAATCTTTCAAGGTGTGTTTGTGCACAGAGATAATTCGTCATTAATCTACTATAATGAATTTGGCCTCCAAGAGCATTCCAGGTGATTTTTATAATTGTGTTGGATGAATTTCACTATTTGCTCCGGATCTGTTTGCAGCCATTGTGAATGTTTCTCTGTGTGCAGTCATGCCAGTGAAGCAAACAACACTACGGGACGTTTGAGCAGCAAAAACTAAAAACAAATCAGAACTTGACAGGAGAGAGGAAACTCTCCAGAGAGAGGCGCATCAACTTTTAGCAGCTAGAATAAAATGTTGAAGACACATCTCTTTTTAAGGAGGACCGCTATTTCACCCCGGATTGTTTCACCGCATGAACCTGACTGAACAGGTTAGCGCGTCTTGAGATCTTAATTATCAATGAAGTTAGTGCACCGTGTTTCGTGAATACATGCGCCTCTGAATAGGTAGATGCGCTGTGCTGGAATCGCCGCAGGTGTCTCCTTGAAAAAACAAATACCTGAATTCTCAGGGTGCAGGAGTCTGTTTAAAATCTGAGCTTGTCTTCGTCTTCTGCTCGAAGGTTTCTGTTGCGTTTGCATGACGGAATCATTTGAATCTCACAAAGTTACAATAAAAGTCATAATAAGTAAGAAGCCTGAGTTTTTACAAAGTATGAGTCTTATTATGGTCCGGGCTCAAGTATGAGAGCAAGTCTGAGTCACACATAAACATTTAAGTAAATACTGAAATGAGTTTGGTGCAAATGTAAAAAAACTAAGGTTTAAAGCTCTTGTGAGGACTCCTCTAGACACGGTCAAAACAGACTAAAAAATTAATGATGATGCTTCTTTATGAGCAGCAAGAGCAAAATTAAATCATCTGCATAAAGAATATTTCAGAATAGTGATTTACAGACTGTTTAGATATATAATGGCGGGGGTAGGTGTCAGTCAAAGCAGTGAAAGCTTCTCTGACGAGCCATTGCAGCAAAAAGTACTTGTAAATAAATTAAAATATAAGACTGTTAAAAGCTAGCACTTAGTAGGGCCCGACCAATTTAATCGACTCACCGATTAAATGGGTTGATTTTAGCTTGTTTGAGACTAATCGGTAATCGGCCAAAACTCGCCGATTGTTGCCGATATTTTCAGAAATAAAATGTGGAGAATAAGATTCGGTTTCACTTCGAAAATGTTCCTCCATTTGAAGAGATCCCCCGACTTGGGGATCCCCCACGATGGTTGAAAATGCTTTTCTGGTCCGAGTTTGATTCACGATAAATAGTATTTATCATGAGACCAACACTTTACACCAAATACCTCATTATTCTCTTTCAGTTGTTTTAACTAGACAGGCCTCCTCTTTCCCTGTTTTTAAATCCCTTTTAAAAACACACTTTTATTCTTTAGCTTTTAGTACATGTTAGTCTTATTTTGTTTGTTATCACCTTAGCCTGAGCCTGCTTATTTATATATCTATTTATTTATTGCGTTTATGTATTTTTGCTCTCTATTGTGTTCTTTGCTTGTTTTATTTGTTTTTATGTCTTAATGTACAGCACTTTGGTTCTTTTAAATGTGCTATAGAAATAAAGGTGATTGATTGATTGATTTAATTCTTTGAAGAAGTGTTCGAAAGGCTCGCTGTTTGTTTAAAAAAAAAGGAAATATGTAGATATATTACTTAAATTAACAAAATTTTAAAACTTCGGCCGGTTAATCGGTAATCAGATTTTTTTTCTCCCCCTATTAATTGTTATCGGCCCCCAAAAATCCATATGGCTCGGGCCCTTGTTAACAGTATGTGGTTGATCAGTGATGGATCTTTTGAACCTTACAGTCAGGAAACTGTCGCTTCAAAAAACATTGATTTGATTTCCATGAAAAGAAAAAAACAGGTCTGTTTATAGGTGGTAACTGTTCTTAAGTGAGCCATAAATATGTATCATATCCTATTGATTTCTATGAATAATAGAATAAACTAACCTATACAGTCTGATTGGAGGTCTTATCTCTGATATGGCCTGTGTGACAGTTAGTTAATAAATAATAGATTGATAAGAATTTGAGCTTTCTGCTTTAGTGGTTTGAATCACACAAAATTGATTTTTCCCCTCTGGTCCCCTATCTAATCAAGGTAGGTATGTGTTTCTGATAAGCACAGATGTGTATGTGTGTGTGTGGATGTGTGTGCGTGTTAAACGGGGCTGGCGGGTAGACGTTAACGATTTGCATTTTGAATGTTTTTCATTCCCAACAGGATTTATTATTAACCATAAATGAAGAGATTGTGGTTAAAGCTGGGGATTGAAAGATGCTTATATTTTTCCTGACCAGACACAATTGATAGATTCATTACTTTTCAGACACCCGTCCTGAAAATAAATGAAGTGCACTGTACACACTGATGGTCTCTGATGCGCAGTTTGGGTTCATACTTCGCCATCGGAGCCAATTCAGCGGGGAGACAGAGGGGCGAGAGGCTGTCATTCTGTTGTTTTTGGAGCTTTATGCTTTGGGATTTGAATATGAAATATAAATACAGTGGGTTTTATTTATCTGAGGATTTGGTTGGAGAGATGATTGAATAGTGCTGAGCAGAGGGCTTACTCTGCCGCCTTTAGAGGCCCTGTGTGTCCTCGCTTTCAACAAGATCAGCACTACAAGCGTCTGCTTCACAGAGAGCCAGCCAGCCTCTCTTTTACCTTTTGTTTGCCGCTCTCTCGACAGATGTGTTCATAAATTTCCATCCCTGCCATTTCCTCTCTCCCACCTCGCCGCAAACGCATCTCCAAGAGTCCCTCATCCTTGAACGCGGCGCTCCCTGAGTTGAGTACGAGTTACGCCACCAATCTTTGTTGGGAGACCGAAAAGGGGGTTTATTTCATATCATGCTCCATAAACCGGCACTAAAACCTGGGAGGGCGAGCAATCAGGAGGCGAACACATTGTGGGCCGCTGGGATTCTCCAACATGGCTGCACCTCCAACTCCCCCGGACTCACGCCAAGCGTTAAATCAAAGATGGGGGAGCCGGCTATACGCGGGGCTGGAGATTAGTGCTGGAGAAATGATTCCATGCTAATTGGAAAAAGAAACCATACAACACCTTATAAGCAGAAAACCCATTATGCGGCATCATGGTGAGAGAGTGGGAGAGAATTGAAAATGGGATGAATACAAATGGCACAAGAGTTGAAACGAGAGTGGGCTGAACTTCTGATGGACGGATCAGCATAATAGGGGGTGAAGGTATTCAGATGAAATCACAAAGTCATTCCAAAAGGGGCCTGATCTGAAAGCAAAGGACTCTGGGAAACAAGTTGGAGTTGAGCCATTTAAGGAGGGTGGAGTGAAAGGTCCAAAAATCGATGGATGGACCCTGCCTGCCTTTTCATTACAACACCTGACACGAAAGGACAGCGGATTTCGTCATTTCATGATGGCGCCCTCAGCGTGAAAAGGAGCTGATATAATGCACCGCGGGGCGAGGAGGAGCTGAGAGGGAGAAAATAGAAAACCAATGCGGACAGAGTCGCGGCGAGTAATGGGCAAAGGTTTGGCTGAAAGGTTGGGGTTGTACAGTTAATTCAGGCTGACAGGGTAGGGGATAAAAATGGGTTTCTCTCTCCACAGCCAACGAGAGGGCCACCCTTGTCCAATCTCTTTGATGGAGAGAGGAGCGCATCCCTCCCCTTTTTTTTCTCCCCAGCAAAGGGGGAGACAGCAGCAGAGAGAGAGGGGGGGAGGCGCGTTATTGAAGGTGAAAAGTTGCAATGTTTTCTGAGTGGACAGCCTCAAGGGCAGCTGGCAAGAGATTAGAGGATGTTATTAGAAAGCAATGGGCTGTACCTTCCACTCATAATCCTCCCACATGGGACTGAGTGCGTTTATCTGTGAGTGCTCCTAACCTGATGTTATCTGTGGCATTACATCCCAGGGACTATGAAAAACAGGCCGCACTCCTCTGCTCAGGTAAATGTTTTTGTTTCTATTTTTGACACTTTTATTCGCCTCAATTTACTTCGTTTATTTGACTTGTAACAGCAGCGATCCCCCTCTGAATACCCCTGAACCGCAGCAGTGTTACAGTGGCTTTCCAAAACACATTAGCACTGACAGGCTGCATAAATATCAGAGTAATTTCAAACTACAGGACGATATTTTTAGTGATCTGCAGGAAGTAGAAGCATAAAGTCAAAACTCTACAGGGGTGGAGCTAAAGGAGAGGCCGGGGTGTCCCAGCCCAGCCCAACCCCCTTAAAATCTGCCCACTACAACACCGTTAATCACCACCAGCTAATTACCACCATATGTAAAGTTATTTGTTTGCCTTACAAAAAAAATTGAGTGAGGTTATTGACACTACATCTTTCTTTATATTTTAAAGTCTTGCATTTCTTTCTATTCATATAACCACTGAACCATATTGTTTTATTACTGGAATTTTTCTGCATTTTAAATTGTGTATTTTAATTGTTATTTTTTTTGTAAAGCATCTTTGAGCACCTGTAAAAGCATGTTATGAATAAAATTTATTTTTTTTATTTTTTTATTTTTTCTATATTTATTTTTGTATTTCAGACATTTTTTTCCCTCTTTCTGTTTTTCGGACAGATTTTTTTTCCTGTTTTTCATACAATTTTTTTCGTCTTCATGTTTTTCAAAATCCTGTGAGAATCATATACAAGTTAACTTTATTTAGATACAAACAAACACAAAAAAGGGTTACAAAGCACAGAAGCATATTGCACTCCCTTACAGAAAGGAAATTTTTTTTTTTTTCTATTTTTTTTTTTATTTTCCATATATTTTCTATATTTATTCTTGTTTTTCAAACATTTTTTTTTTCTTTTTTCTTTTTTTCGGCCTTTTTTTTTTTTTTAAAGAAATAAAATATGTTAAAAAAAGACTAAAAACATGAATAGATAAAGTGAATAAAGTTGGAATAAACTGACAAAAGATACAGAGTTGAGAGACACTTTCTGAAATCCGGACAAAAGCAGAGTTTAGAGGATTAAGACATGTTTAGATGATGTCTCCTTTTAAAATGATCTAAAAAGAGGATTTAACAGATAATAACCTGGTCACCTTCAGTCCACAACCTCAATACTGGCAGAGCAAATAGAACGTTATGAGCTGGCATATATAGACACAAAAACATTTGTGAGTACGATCAGAGCATGTCCTGATAGCTAAGAATAACATGTTAAAATCAACTCTTTAACAAAGTGAAGGTAAAACCGGAGCGCTGTGAGACGGTACCTCGTTATTGTTCTGCTGAAGAACCGAGCTGCAGAATCTGAGAGTCCAAACAGGAGCAGCTGACAGCCTGAATGACAGTCTCAAGTTTTTTCTAGACGTCATTTTGGAGAGTCTGTTCAGCTGCACAAAACAAGACGTCACATTCGGGTTCAGACTGAGTTTATTGTCACAGATAAAGCTAAAATTAAAGTGTGTTATCTGTCCTTTATATGGTGTTTTTATTAACTGCTATAGAACAAACTTTCTTGTGTCTAATAACTCAACATTTCTGTGTGTGTTCGCAGCATGGCGTGTGAGCCAACAAAAATCAAAGATTCATTGGCGTCAGCTGCCCCCCAGTTGTTGTTGGACTGTGTTAATTATGTTTTGCATGTGGTAAAAGGTGAATTTAATGGCAAAATGTACGAGGAAATCCATTACGGTGCACCTCTTATAAAAGTTAAATGACCGTGTTAAGTGCTACCATCCTCGATGCTCACTGCGGTCGTAAACTTAAGTTTAAATGTCCTCCGAGTGACTGAATTAGCAAAAAAGAGAGCAAAGACTTCCCCTCCTCTGTGATTCCCTCGCTCTCTATCTGCTGTCTGTCAAACCCGAAATACGCCGTAAAGACATCAGTTTAAATCATTACCAAAGTTTGGAGAGGGCCCAATATGTAGAACTGTGAAGCTTAAACTCATCCTGCATGATAACGAGTTTTTCTTTTCTTTTTTTTTTTATCTTCCAATTTCATTTTCGTTCCAGGTGCTATTTTAAACTCATCCTGCATTATAACCAGTTTTTCTTTTCTTTTCTTTTTTTTTTTATCTTCCAATTTCATTTTCCTTCCAGGTGCTATTTCCTCTCATCGCCCACCTATGACAACAACCGCCGTGTTCTTCACGGGGACGCTTTGAACTAAATTTCAGAACAAGGTCACCCAGGAAGACGGCTGCTCTGACGGCGCGCTGAATCCTGAATCCATTCATGAGTTTCTCCCCAAACAAACAAACACGGCTCTCTCATCCAAACACGCATCAGTACGAACTCCATCCTCCGTCTTTGTCTGTGCTGTTATTTTTATTGACGTGTTCTTAAATTGATCCAATGTGCCGCGGATGAAGGTACTCGAGTGAACCGTCTTTGGTTCGTTTTTTACCCACAAAAAGCACTTATTCGGTCTTGTTTACCCTATCAACCAAAGAGAGGATGAGTCTTCCAGCCATGAGAGCTTAATAATCTCTGCTCTGTATCATCTGTCTCTCCAATAAACTCCATTTATTTATGGTTCATAGATGTTGTGCTCGTTGCTCTTCCTTTCAGGCCAGGTCAGGCTGAACTTGCTTCGATGAGACTCTTTACAAACATAATATGTCCTTTGACTATGCAGGAGTAAATCTTCAGTACTGTATCCTTGTCATGCATTAAGCCTAAAGGCTGATTTATATTTTGCATAGGAGACAGAAACGGAGGCAGCGTTGGAGGAGGGGGCGGCGGTCGGTCAGGCCACTAAATGCCTCGCGGTTGGAGGACAGAGAGTTCTTTTAATGATGAGAGAAATTGACGACGATCATCATTTTCAAGTACTTCAGGAAGTCTGCCGGGGCATTCGACAACTTGCTTCGCTGGGTGGCCCCCCACATCCTGCACCACAAGTCAACATATAGCTGGAAATATGGAGGAAAAGAGCGTAATGCCTGGACGGAAAGCTATGTCCGTATCTGGATTCGTGTTCAACGTTGAGCATTAATGAGCCTTAAAACATACAGCGTGTTCCGTCAGCGTTGCGTGCCCCACAGCGAATAGGTTGCCATTCTAATCAATGCAGCGTTGCACACATGAAGCGTCTCTACTTCGTCGCAACTCCGTCTCAGAAGTGTGTCGAGCGTGGCTATGCTAAAGATACACGCCGAGTCTATTTTTGCTGCTTTACACTTCCAACACGTGTCAATCTACACAGAGAAGATCGTTCTAGACAGGATGTAAAACACAAAAACCACGAATGTCATCCGGTATTTCAAAATAAAACACCATATGCGGACTCCTGACTGTGTATCAGCTTGTGTTGATGAGAAATACTTCCTGGTTATGGATTTATCAGGAACACAGAACAATCTGATAGTCAATCCCTGATCCATGTGGACCCAAACAGGACTTTGAAGTGCTAACTCTGTCTGAAGGTAACAGCACAGCATGAAGGAAAATCATTGACTTTATTAAACACGAGTAAACCTGCAAAAACCCAAACTGTAAAATCACATTGACTTATCACATAGAGTAGAGGCTCAACAGTCACTGAATTATATCCAAATTATCAGGAAATAGACCGCAAAACAACCTGTTGTGAGCATGTTGTTTCCTCTATACTGAGCCCAGCTGACCGGGGCTGAACTACGCTGCTGCTACTCTCCAAATACACAGAGACACGATGCTGACAGAAGCTTTGGTCTGAAATGTGGCAAGGCTGGCCCTCGATATCTCATCAGCCTCTGATCTCTGGCACCTGAGAAACCTCGACAAAAGGCAGAGCCAAGCTTCTCCCTCACTCAGCCAGGATCATCTCAACTCTATCTTTGTTTAGACCTTAACCTGATTTCACTGAAAATAAACTTTTATTTTATTTTGCCTTTTTGATTCCCTTGTGTTGTAACACTGCAATCATCTTCACCAACAACTTGAAGCTCAGGTGACCATATTTTGAATCCCCAATAAGAGGCCATTTCAACCAGGAGTTGCTTGTAGTGAAGTTTGAGAGTTTTTCGGATCAGGTCGGGTGTTTTTTTCACGCTTCCAACCTAGCAAGTCCATGCGACACAAACTCAAAACTTCCATTCAAAACCCCGGACATTTGAAGGATTTTAAAATTCCCCCAGACAAGGCCAGACAGCCCCAAAAAAGGAGGACATGTCCGGGTAAAAGAGGACGTATAATCACCCTACTTGAAGCGCAACCTCACAATATCGATGCAAAAATCACCGGGAACTTTGAGCTCTTGTGTTTCCTGCTAGTCTCACACTTTCAAACAGAAGTAGAATGATCCAAAGCATGACTAGACTCTGAATCTGAATGATTTACCCAACAGCAACATAGCAAAGGTCCGCTATCACTCTCAGCGGCTGGATCTGGGAGCAGCCACTTAGCATCTCCTCCTGACCTTGGCTGTCATGTTAGCATGCATGAGCAATCTGCATCCCTGACGCTTTGATGTGCCGCCGTCTCTCCTTCTCCATCCATGCATGAGCAAGTTAAAGATTTCCTGCCCGGGTCAATCATATTGAATGGGGGTCTGATCGACTGTGACAGGGAGCTCTCTCTCAGACCGAGCTCGCGGGGTGCCAGGAAAGCGTTTCACCTCGGCCAGGTGCAGTCACCTTGGCCGTGAGCAATGAGCTCCGAGGTTGGCTGAGTAATTCCCCCATGTTTCTCTCGGGGGTTAGCACATCAAAGAGATCTGCATGTAGATTAAAGCCCCCGAGCTCGAAGAGAGTTTACCCTTAGCCTGTTCGCATGCACTCCCACAACAACAGAGAATATCTAAACAGAGGGACCGGGAACACAGCGAGAGCTCTTTCTTCTATCATCTGAAGTAAATAGAGAAAGCGAGCCACGAGCAAGTCATTAAAAGACCACCTGTTCTGCATCTCCATCTCAGCCTTTAAGTATCATATCGACAGCAAAACATCCAAGACCCGTGCAGCATGCGCACCGCCAAGTAAACACATCTGAGCGCTTGCACACATGCAGACGCATCCACACACACCATTAGACATATGCCTCTGGTTAAGGTGATGATGCACAACATATGGCGCTCAAGAGCCCACTAAAACCCCCTTGCAGAGAACACAAGGATCTATAGGATTAGTGTGCGAGGAGTTCATGCATCCAGAACTTTCAGATTTAGGTCGCTGGCAAAGGTTGACAGGCTAACAGGCTGCTTCAGAAGTTTAATTAGTTTTTATGGGACCAACTTTTTCCAAATAAGAAAAATGAGCGACTATTACGGTCACATGATAGCTCGCTGTTGAATACTTAATAAAGTTGCGGTGATTATCTCGGCGGAGAGCAGAGGGCATTGTCTCATTGATGAGTTGTCAGCAATTACAGGACAGATGTTCTGAGGGAAGAGCTGATAATCACAGTTATCACCGACCGACTCGATATCACTTGTTCCTGCAGCGTCTATTGTTCCATTAGAGCTCAGGCGAAACAGAGTGTACTCACCGAGAGACTGGAGGGAGATTTCAGGATGCTGGTTTCGGCCTCTGCGTGTGAAGCGCTCGCACAGATGCTGTCGTCCTCGAGGCGGAAAGCCCAGGTTAGATTGTGTCCTGAGGCTTCTTGTCAGTCCCCGCTCAGTCCTCCTCGTTTCCTTCTCTATCCAGAGTCCTCTCTCTAAAAACACACACATTCATGCTGCTTTCAAATCAGTGTGAAGTTAGTTTTCTCTGTCCTCCACTGACCTGTGAATCACTTCTCCAAAAACTACCTTGAATAGAGAAAGATTTAAACTACAAAAACTGAGCATAGGGGCTAGTTCAGGCAGGCCACAAAGTCAAGTCTTATTTTAACCAAAAGGTAGGTGGACTGTCTGCACACTGGGAGTCTTAACTGTCGCTTTTCCTGCCTTGGCTTTTTCACATCTGCATGTTGAAGGGCAGAAAACTCCCAGAGCCAAGGAAATATAACCATGACATAAAAAAATCCTGGCTGAACTCCTGAAGATTTAAAAATTGTCTATTTTCAGAAGGAGCTTATATACCGGCTAAAATGACAGCTAGCTACACTGCAAAAACTAAATTCCCAGATAACGGATCAGTCAAACTTTTGGGCAAAATATCTCTCTACACCTGATGAGTGTCACTTAAAACAGAAACACATATATACTTAAAGGTTTTCAATCAAAGAATAAATAAGAGGTCTTTTTTTTTTAGAAAAACTCAAAGAAAATTTGTATCTTGAATTGAATGTTGAAAGATTTGAGATTTTGCAGCATGTTTTAGTTAAAGGTAAGCTCCACATGTTGACTTAAAGAAAGTGTTGTTCCATTTTCTTCCCTGTAAATCTATTTAACGCTCCTCTAAAAATGTGCATGATTTTCACTTTTTTCATGCTTGATGCTAAAATACAGACTTTTTAATTAAGAGGGCATATCAGTTTTGGAATAATAATAATAATAATATACATAATAATTCTATTTGTATAGCACCTTTAAAAACAGATGTTTACAAAGTGCTTTAACAGAAGAAGCAAACAAAGGCAGAAACAGACGAAGGAAAATTGACAGTTAAAAATGGCCGTTAAAGATTGACAGTTTGTTAGGATGAGTTTCTTTAGCCAGTCATGTCAGCCTTTAGAGTGGTGGAGCTGTGTCTCTCAAATATCTCAGATACTTCAGTGTTAGATTGCTGGAGCTGGGGGCCTTCGACAACTATCCTCAACAAGGACCCTGTACCCATGTTTTACATCACTCAGGTCCCCAAAATATGTTCTGTCATGGTATTTCCTTCTATGGACCCTCCATATGTTCACCTAAAGCTCCTTAAAATATGTTGTTCTTTGTTCTTACCGTACATGGATTTTTCTTAGGGTCAACTAAATGTCAGCAGTATGTTTAGAAATGTGGACGACGATATATACTTGAACAGTCTTGAACCATTCTTTGTCACACTTGTGGCATGATAAAGCTGTAACCCAGATCTGCAACCAGTAAAGCCTGTCAAAATGATAATTCGTTTGGACCTTCCATTCTTTAAAGTAAGAACATGGGCTAGGCATCCTTACACAGTTGGTGGTTGACGGCATCACATCAGGATGATGAAAAGGAGGAAGATGGATAGAGGACAGATAAAAAAAGAGGAAGAGAAAAGAATACAAGGTAAGGTAAAATAAGAGTGATAATGAAAAGGGAGGGAGTATATAAAAATATGAGAAAATGTTAAAAACAGGATGACTGCTACTAAAACTGATTCATAACTGTTCTAAAAGAAAATCTAACTTTGTTTGCAAACTTCACTCTCTTATTTTGTTTGTGCGCTGCAAATGCTCACATAGTTCAAATTTGAAAAACATGTTAAGTCAATGCAACAGCAAAAACGAGCTGCAAAAAACCTGAAACATCACATCAAATGGAAATGCTGCGAATGGACAAAAAGTGCAAGGTGAAAACAGACAAATTCTGAAAACATATTCTTGACTTTCCAGATGGAGCGCTTCAGGCCCGTAGGGGAGCAGACTGAAACAGCTTCACTATCACCAAGACCCTTTCACCTGTGCATGTGTTTTGAATTTGCACCTGCAGCATATCTCAGAGACTGTTAGGGGCGTTTCAGATTATCTGCCCTGGTTGGCCACAGTATGTGACTAAAAACTTTAAAGAAATTCTATCACAGAAGACAGAAATCTGAATCCAACTTTTATGAAGGTTAGAATTTCCTTAAACAAACTCTGGTGTTTACGAATGCTCACCTTTTTATCAAATTATGCAGATGAACTTCTCGTTAAAGAGACTGACAGATGTTTGAATGCAAATTCATGAGCGCGGGAACTTGTAAATGAGCGTCATTATCGCCGCCGTCAGGGGAAAAGTTGAGCTACTGTTAAATGTTTAGTTTTTCTTTAAGTCTAAAGATCATATCTGCGTGACAGAAACGAAATCTCAAGTGATTTTTCAGAAACCATTAATACGTGAATGCTCCGAGAGAATGAGAGAATGATGGATCCGTGCATCATTATTCCAACATTACACAGATGTTCCTCATGGGGACACTTAATAAAGGTCAGCGTTTCAAAACCTGAAAGGCCAACAGTCTGCTTTTGATGGAACGTAGATGGATGAATCGCCCTGATGCAGATAAACCCCGGGGATCCCTCTATTATATGCAAAGGCTTGTTGAGACTTGAATGCAACATCGGTGTCATTTCATCACTGATTAAAATGCAGCGCCTCAAATGCCACCGAGAAACCACAACTGGCGCTTGAGGGAGAATTTTCCAAAATGAGTCTAAGAAGAAGAGGAAGAAGGTGAGACCAGTCTGCACCTTAAGACACACAAAGGGGGCCGTCTTGGCGCTGTCTTTAGCGGTGATACCCATGCAACGCGGGGTCGGGGTCGCATCTGGCGCTCCCTGGATCCGATCTGAGCAATCAGACGGAGCTGGCGAAGCATCACACGGCAGCCTCGGTGCTCAGCAGGAGCGAAGGAACGCAGAAAAAGAGAGCAAGGAAGAAGAGTGGGCGAGAGGTGTACAGATGGTGGATAACTCCTCATACGTACATGCTGCACGTACTTCCTCCCCGTATATCTTATCTCTCAAGTGTCCTCATTTTCTAAATTAAATCTCAAATCTTTACCGACTCTTTCCTGTCGTCTTGTCTCTTTGATTTGACTCCAAAAGGAAGGTACTTTTATAGAGAACAAGGAGGTCCTTGAAAAAGAGAAGATATTCATCTTTTGTTCCTAACAACATCCCTCATCCGGAGATTTCCATCATCATTTATGCTCCTCTTGTCACGGTGACGTCTCAATAGAAAGTTGAAAGAAAATCTCTGCAACAATTTGAGTAGAAAACATGAATCGATGCATATTTCGTGTCAAGGAGGACGCGGTAATGCCGACTGTTTAAGGACAACTGAATCTTCTACGTGTTGAAACCTCAATAAGAAGCTTTAATAAGTTTCCGTCAGTAAAATCTGCTAACCTTTATTTGTACAGGCTTTTTATTTCGTCCACAAAAAGATCAAATTTCATTGTCTTACTTCCAGATGATGGGGTTCAGTTTATTTTCCCCTTCTATTATTTTAAATATCAATACAAAACTGCTTTTATTGTGCTAAAGTGACACACTGACTGTCTTCATCCACCAAGAGCGAGTAAAATCATTCGCGCGAATGAATTACATGTTAAGTCAATGCAAAGACGCGATTAGATGCCTCTACTAGTTTGGCTGCACGAATGAAGCGAATTGGGCGTGAACTGAAAATGTTCTTAACTTGAGCGGATGTTTGCATCGCGAAATTACCGTTGACGCACGAATAAAACGAGTAAATACTATTTTAAGTGTCTAGATTCACGCGAATTAAGCGAGTTAAGCGAGTAGACGATTTTACTCGCGCACCATGACAGCTCTCAGTTCCCCCTTTTTGTCTCAGTGCTGCTGTGGCATTCACAAAATTTTACATACTGCAAATGTGACATGATGCATTTCTGTGAAAGTAAAAACTATTAGCTGTTTATTCCACTAACGTGAAGAAGGGTTGCACTAGTAGAAACAGAGAGAGCTACAGCAGTAGTAGCAGGAAGGTATAATTGGCAGAGCTAAAAACAGAGAAAAAGCTGTTAACTAAAAACTAAAAAATGTGGTTTCAGAATCAGTTTGTTTGAGGAATTTGGATCAATCTGAAAAGTTTCTGCCAGAATCAAAGCCCACTGTTAGTGCGAACAATAAAAAACAATGTAAAAGTAAGAAAAACTTAAACAGCAAAATCACAAAAAAAGAAGAAAAAAGTAAAAAAGATAAAAGTCTCCAGAAGTTTTTTAAAGCTGAGATGAAGTCTTTGAATGGAAGTATGCTGAACTTATGAACCGGAGAAGTTGGATGAGTTTGAGGCGGCAGATTTGCAGTATTTCCACAATCTGTTTATATTGTGAATTTCTTTCATGTCGTTGAATAATTCAAAACGTATAAAGAGTAGAAATGAGAGTAGAAACAATTCTGAAAAGTTTAAAAGTTGAAGGAAGTATGAGGGCTGTAAAAGCAAAACAGACAAAGAAAAAGAAACAGGAAAATAATGAATCAGTATTTTCACTACAATGCAGTCTCTCTCAATTTAAATCTCACAACAAAATCATTCCATTTTGTAATATAACAACTCAACTCTCAGAAACTCTCCCCTCTTCTTTAATTTAGCTCTAATATGCAGTTGTAGTAATAATCCAGTTTAAATTGAGCCTCAAGGTTTCCTTTTCATTTGATTTCCTTTTTGTTCAAAAGTTTGACCAGTTACCCACTAATCATCGGACATCAAAGAGACGTGCAGATCAAGTCAGTATTGGGTCGGTCCGTCAAAGACCACATCTAGGCGTCAGTGCATCGTGCAAAAAGGTAAGAAATTTCGACGTCCAAATTGGACCTTTTTTAGACGTCGCTCTGACCAAATCTAGACGTCGACACAACGTGCAAAATGGATCCAAGACTTAGACGTCATTATGGGACCTCTTTTAGACGTTGAAATGATGTCCACATTTGTAACTCATCATCGAAAAAATACGTTAAATAGATGTCTTTATCGACGTCGCATTGTGCAGTGGGTGAGGCTTAAATCTTAAACAATCACATGTATAAATGACAAAAACTCTGTAGGCGTCATCGATGAGAAATCAAAGTTAAGAATTCATTTATCAAATAAATAAATAACTGGATTTTACAGTAACATACTGTAAAATCCAGATTATACAGTAAATTGTGTAAAAAGAGATGTCTGTTATGGCCCTTTTATCACTTCTATTTCTTTTATTTTTTGTGTTTTTAAATGTTTTTTTACCTGCTTCTATTTATTTCCTCTTCATTTTTTTTTTTTTTACTTCTGCAGTTTTTGTTCTTTTGATTTTACTACGACGGAGTATTAGGGCCACGTAAAACAAAAGAGAATTAAGACTTCAAGATTGAAGTCGTTAATTTACAAGAATAAAGTCATTACTAACAAGGATATAGTCGTAATAAAATCATTATGATACTTACAATGTGGAGCTGATGTACCGAAAGTTAGAGAAACCTATATTGAAGTACGTTTTCATGAAATGCGCCTTGGCTTTCATTTTAAACAACAGGTTAGAATATAAAGACTTAACTCTGACTTATTCTCATCAGTGATTACTTTTTTACGACTTTTTAAATCTCCAGATTTCGACTTTAATCTCGAAGTGGAAATTAAAAAAATCTCCCCCTTGTAATATTTTTTTCTCTTCTTGTGGCCATTATCCTCTTTCCTATTTCACTATGCAACACTGTTAAAACTGAATGTTTTTAAAATGTGCTATGAAAAAAGTGGACTGGATTGGATTGGATTAAGAAGTCTGTTTTCTGGGCAAAGATTTTAACCTTCAATCTGTGTGATTTCCAGCATTTCTGTGCAGCTATTTCCCCATGTAACGTTTGCACTCCTGTAAGCTAGGTTACCTCGGCTAAGGGGTATGAGAATAAAGTGTTGAATATAGATGCTGTATTTGAGATAGAAACTTCTAAAACAGTTGCTTTGCTAACATGCTGTTTATGCTAAAACAGGTTGCAACACATAATGAGATTTATCTTGTAATTATCTCTTAGTAGGAGAGCAAACACCAGTCGGGGGTCACTTAATAACACTACTAAACCACTGTGAACTGTTGCTTCCACACTGATAATCAGGTCAAATAAAAAACACAGAGACGAGTTCATTCAAGATTAAATTAGTCAAAGTTACCTCCTGTCTTTGGATGGTTCAAGTTGAACTGAGTCACTCTATTCCTGTGTATCTGTCGTCTCAGTAGAGGCTTATTATAAGAAAATTTGTCATGTCAGAAAAAGTTGAGTGATACTACAAAAAGTCTCGACCTGCTGTGACGGCGGGTCGTGACTTGTTTTGATTTGACGCAGTATCAATAAAAAAGACTGATTGGCTTACTTGCAAGGGAGTATTTTCTCATTAAAGCGTTAATACTCTCGCTTAATCCGATCTATGAAGTCATTATAATATGCAGACTAATTTGATGCGTAAATTAATGATGCAGGACCCCGCTGAGCCTCTGCAGTCAACGTGCGGCCATTTACATGTTTTAACTCTGCTTCAGCTCATATCAAATGCATTTGTAATTAAAGGATCGTTTTATACGTTATTAGCAGCACAAGGTCAGTGCACATGCTAATAAAAGATTTTATTTGGTGTTAGGTCGTATTGATTGCTCTTATACGCTCTAACAGAATATTTTATGGGCGCCCGGCTCAGTGTGATGCAAATGCAATATTTTAAAGTCATAAAACAAGGATTTAGTGAACGTCCTCCTCCGCCGCGGGCAAAGATTGTCGAAGCAGTCAGACTTATTTCTTTTGGCAACATTTGCTCACTAGTGTAGCTAAGCTGTGAGTGTGCAACAATCGAGTTCAGCGGCACACACAATAGGAAAAAAACTGGAAATGATGTCTGCTCCTTGTGCTCTCTGCTCTAGAAATGATCCATGTGGGCCCTGAACGTGCTTCGCTGCATATCTCAGCCCAAATAACACCCAACATTTAATACTTAGGCCAAAGTCATTATCAGTTTCTTTCTCTGCCAAATCTATTTACAGCGCCCTGCAGAGGGCCAAATTGGAAGATTACTCTTTAGTCCATACAATTTAGAGAATGCACCGCATTTCCATCACCTCAAGGCCCTCAAAATCAATATGCCAATAAACCTACATCTTTCTATTCCATTAGCAGCCCTGCTGGGTGCGTACAGTGTAGCGGGGGCCTGTGGCACACATGCACACACAGACTGCATGAGAACACTGTGATTTGCATTTCTCTTCCTACTATTGATGGAAATTCAGCTTCTTTTACCTTCACAGCGTTGTTACCGTTACTGTATCTGGAAAAATGGAATCAGATGAGCAGCTGGAGTTAACTGGAAAAATCTCAGAGCCGATCGTTCACTTATTCTCCTTAACCTGCTCTCTGCAGGGAGGTGGACTCCAGCCATAAAGAATACTGTTAAACCAGGAGTTTAACAGGGCTTTTACATCTACATCGTATGGTCCGGACTTTCTGACTTTTCTGTTTTGTCCGAACCAGAATGATTAGGTGTGAAACCTCCCCAGGACCTTGGTCTGGACCAAACAGCCAGACCTTGGTGCGACCAAAAGAGGTGGTCTAAAGGTTAAAGGTTAATAAAGGTTATTAAATGTGCATCTTAAGTGTGTGACGTATTTCAGCGGAGGCATTTGCTGAGGTTTAAAAAATACGAACCGTCATTTTATTTCACACTTGACTCATATCTGCTATAGTTTGGACACACATTATTTCCCCCGACAGATAACACAGGCTATGTTTTATTCATGTCGCTGGCTCATCTCTAGCCTGGCTCAAGCTGGCCTGGGGTGAGGATGGAGCATGTTAACTATTTATCACACATTACAACAAGACACGAGCCCGTCAGGCTTGAAGCCCTCGACAGCACAACGCCCCGCTCGCCGTCTGCTGCACAAACCTGCTGATGGGGTGAAACTCAACACTTCCCCTCTCTCTCCAACAGATAAAGATCCAGCCCTCCTTTAGTCACCACTGAGCTCCCCCGCATGCCGCAGAGCGACACAGAGAGCTTCCTACAATTGAACTGGCAAGGGAAATGAGGACAGACGATGTCTTATCAGCAGTTCTATTGCCTTTCTCTCTCGTCTTCCTGACAATGAGGCGCTGCCGTTCCTCTCTTTTCACTCGCCAAACGGGTGTGACTGTACCCAGAACATGGAGATGATCAATTACTGGAGATGTCTCCGCCCCATCAAGCACATTCAAGTCGCTTTAATGAAATGAGAGCGAGTGTTATGGTGTGAAAGGGATAAAGAGAAAAATTAATTTTCATCAAATTTTTGGGAGCCAAGATAAGAAAAAAAAAAACCTATCCAGTTTCCAGAAAGAATAAAAGCATCTCGACAAAAGAAACGCTGATTTCAGAGGACTGATGATCTGTGCTGATCACTCTTTGGTATCTCCCTCTGTTATTGTCAGTCCAAATGAAGACAGAACGTGAATATCAAACAGAACAATCGAGAATTGTTCACCTTTCAGCTCCATATAGAGCTTAAAGCGTGCGTCAAAAGATGAAATCTTGTTTTCAAAGCATATTTCACCTTTCAGGCACAATAGACGTATTTGTTAGGGGTATCCAGGAGTCTTAACCTTCCTCCTGTGTTCGCTTTTACTACTCACCCACCATGTTAAGGGTCTGTTTTGACCCGTGTCTTAAATCAGCTGTAAGTTACACTAAAAACAATTCTCTATCGTCCAATTTGGTTCTCATCTCTAGGTCACCTTGTTCGGCCTTATTATCCATGAAAATCTTGCTTATAAAAGTTTTAGTTGTGGGCTGCTGTAGTGTTGTGTCAATCGGGAACGATTCGTTCAAAAGAACTGAATCTTTTAAGTGAACGTACTGAACCGAATCACTTCCTCGAGTGATTCGCTCGTTTCTCACTTCAGTTGAGCTGAAGTGATTAACAGCATTGCCAGGCCAGCAGCCAGCGAACAAGGGGACCGCATGCACAGACGCCTGAATCACTTAATGAACGAATCACGCATTGAACTACACTCTCTGGAATCATTTTGGGCAGACAAAACTACCTTTTTTTTTATCACTGCTAAAATGCCAACACAACAACTTTCATACAATAGGACACAGCACTTAACAAGTAGTGCATTAAACCTGCAGCATCCTATCATTGCAGCAGTTTGAGTGGGAACGCTGTATGTTCAGTGTGAATTCTTCTAAACATTCAGTGAACAAATCATGAATCTTTTTAGTGAACTGATTCTAGTGATTCAGTACAACTAAAAGAACTGCCGTCCTCATCACTCGGGCTCTGGGCCATTCTTTGTCAGTATACCCCTCACACAGACATCTATACTGAACTGATCTCACATGTCTGGATATGGTGACGTTGTTTTTTGTGCAGGGAAAAACACGACAAAATGAGAATTTCCTAAATCTCACAAGAGAATCTGACATCAGTTTGATGCCTAACAGTGCACATATGATTTCAGCTCTAATTATTAGATATTAATCTAACCAGGTCAACAGTGACCCGTTTTATAATTTGGTCACTTTAATTTTTTCATTTTTGTTTTGTTGAAATAGACGTTCCTGACAAAGTCAAAAAGTCTCGATACAAAAAGCAAATTTATGTGGTTCTTTTAAGCATTTAAAAACTAAAACGGGTCGGTGCAGACCCTAACACAGGAGAAGAGAGATCTAGGCAAGCTGAAAATATAAGAGTTATTCGTTGGGGTCGGACATGCTGTGCCAAAAATAGCCTGGTGCAGAGATGTCATTTAACCATGAGACCTTTTCACCCCGATCGGCATTACTGCAATAAAACTCCAAGTCGTAGTCATCTCAGCTGTCAAACCTCGGCCGCGTATGATGATTGACATTTCAATGACATTAGTGTTTCAGTCAGAGTGTTAAATTACGAGGTAGAACTGACCCAATCTGAGCCGCTGTGCTCGTTCTCTTCAAAATAAAAGCCCATAAGTAAAGGGTCATTTCATATCACAATGCAATCATGTTTCATTGTGAAAATGAAACTGCTCCCTGTGGTAAATTTGATTTAAGAAGTTATTTTAAAGTCCATGAAGAAAAGTGGTGGTTCTGGGATTATTACAGTAAAAAACGTTGTTTCCTCAGATTGAGGATTTACCGTGAGGGGGTGAGAAATGTTAACTTAAATACATCCAGGGAGTTATACTTTCACACGCTCACAAGTAGTGTCAATAATGACAGTGTGAAACCTAAACAGAATGAACCAAATGTAAACAATGTCACAAAAACACTGACCTTGGTTCGAACTCCAGGTGTGAAAACACCCGAAGTTGCAGATATTTAATTTGTCTCTTATTGCAGACTTCCATTGAGGTCAGCAATGTGCAGTTTTGTTGCAGATGTGTAGCTCTTGACTTTGATTTTTATCTTATTTTTTGTTATCTATTAGTGCTTCAGTCAGAGTGTTAAATTACGAGGTAGAACTGACCTCATCTGAGCCTCTGTGCTCATTCTCTTCAAAATAAAAGCCCGTGAATAAAAGGTCATTTCATATCACAATGCAATCATGTTTCATTGTGAATATGAAAATGCTCCCTGTGGTAAATTTGATTTAAGAAGTTATTTCAAAGTCCATGAAGAAAGGCGGTGGTTCTGGGATTATTACAGTAAAAAAAAGGTTGTTTCCTCAGATTGCGGATTTGCCATGAGGGGTGAGAAATGTTTACTGCAAATACATCCGGGAAGTTATCCTTTCACACCCTCACAAGTGCAGATTCCTGCTGCAGTGATAGAATTTCTGGATTTGTGAAATCCCTTTATAGGAGACATATTGCTGCTGTGTCAGTGCTGTATTATTACAGCTTACTCCTGTAAGCCGCATTTTCCACAGAGGTTAACAAAGTGCTTTGAGCCAGGATGAATGGTCTCATATTTTTGCCCTCAATTCACGCCGACATTTCCCTAACAACACGTGTAATCCTGCAAAGCCTTTGATTTACGACTGTATTTAAACACCCGGTTTCATGCTGTGCCATCTTATTTTAGTGTTTTATTGTGAGTGTGATAAAAATGTGACTTTTTTTCCTTTTTAAGTATTTACTAAAAAAAGAAAAAAATAAGCTCATCAGTCACAAGTCATGGAGCACCAAATGTCTTGGCTCGGTTTTCCCCGTTATCAAAAGGAATGTTTAATATAGCAGTTGTTGCATCATCTCCATAGCCTCCAATTCCTTGTCAGGCTAATTATTTGTAATTAGGAGGTTTTTGTTGAAGGAATAAACAAAGAAAAATTTATGTATTCAGCAAACCGCTTCAGAGCGCTTCAGGTCTTTTAATCATGCAGACGCTTTACACTTTGCAGGCCGGCCATGATGGACTCCGCCTGGAAGATTTATTGATTCAACTGAGACTTCAATCAGTTTTGCCTTTGCATTCAGTTAATTTATGGCTGAAGCGAGGATTATTGAGCGCTCGCACCGACTGAGGACGCAACAAATTAGCACTTCCAAAATCATTTTTGAAAACGATGGGCTCTGTTTTTTTTCCCCTTCGTAGTTTTACCCTCCTGAGATAGACGAGTCAAAATTGAGGGAATAAATTAAATCCTGGACAGATATTAAAAACATGTTATTTAACCTCCTGATGCAGCAGCGGCAGCAGCTCAGCGAGTCTGAAGTCATTTCCAGGCTGAGTCTGACAGCTTTATTAACATCTAATCAGCACAATATGTAGCATCAGTAAAAGTGAACTTGTTGGCTTTATTTGCATTTGTCTGATGAGGTCGGAGCACTTTTGGGAACTTTTTCACTGTTTTTATAGCAGGAAAAAAAAGGTACGCACTGACATTTAAAAGACATGACATGCTTTTCAGCTAATGAGGCTCGACTGGAACAGAGGACATGTGAAGCTCCCACTTTGACTGAAGCGCCTGTTTTTGGCTAAACGCTGCCGTTTTCACTGCTGTGTTAAATCTGAGCAGAAAATACTCTTCCTTCTGGAGTCCTCTCGTAAAATCAGAACCCCGTGTTCGCCATGTAGGATTGTGTCAATGTGTGACTGAGAGCATGGCGTGCTGCAGGGCGGATGTTTTTTTCTGGTTGTGATCACAGTAGTGGTGTCTTCTTCAGATTAACTCGTGCTACAACTTGGGAAAGTTCAAGTATTTTCAAAAGGAAGATATTAATTCATTAAAGTCCTACTCAGATCTTTTTAGTTTTTTACTACTTCAAGTGTTGTCGGTGATCTTTAAATCTTGATTATGAAGTTTTTAACCAAAATCGCATTACTTCTGTCATTTTTAAGGGCTTTAGCTCATTAGCAAGTCTTCTCCGAGTCGTGGGCAGAGACCAGTGTTGCCAACTCCTGAGTAAGGAGAGAAGCTATTGGCTGTCCTAAAAGTCACTAGAAGTCGCTAAATTATGTCATCACCTAATTTGCATAATTGGCCAAATTGTAATGGACGCTGTAAGGGAGAGGAACAACGTCGTGGGAGAGACAAAAAGTGAGTAAAAACCACCCCAAATATGTTAAGAACTGCAAATGCCAACCCAACCCTACTCCTTTGTCCGGGCTTGGGACCGGCAAAAATGACCCAATTAAGACAATTTAGAAGAATTACTGAGATTATTTTATTCAGTGTATTTTTCGCACAATAAGGTGCACCTAATTATAAGGCGCATCATCAATGAACGCGTCTATTTTCATACATAAGGCGCAGCGGATCATAAGGCGCACTGGATTATAAAGCACATTAAGCCAAAAAAAGAGTCAGATAAGTCAAAATTTATTTAACTCAGTCAATAACTCCGCAAGGCTACGGTAGCTGCAGTGCTCCAACAAGCCTAAAGGATTGTAAGTGTGCCTTATAGAAAAAATATGGTATTTATTTAATTTATTCATTCTAATTTTTTTTTATTTTTTGAAAAATTTTAAAAGTTTGGTTTGGTTTTAAACAACAACAAATCACAGTAAAATACTAATATTTTAACTACAACTTAACTATACTATAACTATAATGTCCTCCCTACTTTCCCAACTGTGGCCTGCATAGCGGGGCTCTGGGGGCGGAGCTTGGAATTGTGATGTATGAAATCTCACTGTGTCTGAGCCTTCCGTTTGGGTCTGCCAGAATTTGACTGCAGAACTACCCAGAAATACAATTTCACACTTTTTTTTCTCATGATATGTCCTGTAGCATCAGAAAAATGCCACAGGAGCATGTAGACAACAAGAAAAACATAAATTTTATCGTGTTGGTGCATCATTAGAGAGCCTCCACTCTGCTGCACAGAGCTGCACTCCTTTCCTGAAGGATCTCAAATCTGTCGAATTGTGTGTTAGATCCACAAAAATGTGACGCAGACTTCACAAAGTCTGCTCATTGGAGTAAATCAGCAAAAGCAGCTTGTAACACACGATAAATAAGTCATGAAGAAGGTTCCAGACTATCTTTACACGAGTGGAAACAGCCATAGAGACTTAATGTAAAGATGCATCATTTAATGTCACCAGGTGTTGTCATACTCCATGTAAAGTTTGAGAACGACGTCTTTCATAGACTCTGTTATGCAGGTACCTTCAATTTCAGCAGATGGTAACAGTTTCGCTCTAACTGTGCTCGGCTGTAAACAACAGTGTGTCATTTGCATAGAAAGAGGCCGATTTAACCCTGAATGAGTGCATAATGACTCATTTAAAAACACATAAACAGCACTTGCACACACAGACGCTGTATGGTGCATTTAACCCTTTGTGAATTTTTTAAAAGTGGGCAATAAAGCTGAGCAATTCTTAATCGTCTCTTATTGTTAATATTGGCTCAACTTTAAACCTCAGCGTGTTATACCGACGCTCATTCAGGTCTTCATCCAACAGTAAAACCTAGCAATCTGTCCAACATCTAAATTTCTATCCTGCATCTCGAGTCAGGTTTTGCTCATGTTTGGAAAGCTTCTTGAGGATAGAGAGGCTCATCTGGGCTGTTTTTTCTTTTTCCTCCCAAGAAATCTTAACCTTTTGCTGTCAAAGAAACTGCCGACAAATGTTCCACAACTGTCTCTGCCACCGAGGAACATGGGGAGAGCAATTTACTCCGCTCACCAGTCACTCTAATCTTCAAAGGATGCTGTTATAGCTCGGCTTACATCACTCTCTATCTGCACCCGGTTTATCCGGCCCATCCTGCCGCGGTGTGTCAGGTAAAGTGCAAGATTACAGCCTGCGTCGAGCCAACTTCCTCGGAACGACAGCACTTTAAAAAAACTGATGCCACTATTTGTTTTTCCGAGCGCGTGTCGTGATTTCTACACCGGGCCTCGGGGGCGGGGCCTGTCAGGCAGATCTGATTGGAGCGCATTTGCATGGCGATGCCTGATGAAGCAAAAAGGAATATTGTACCGTTAGCCACCCGGCGTTTTGCTCCAGCTTTTAAGAGATCAAAGTCAAACTCCAGCAGAGCAGAGTGGTTGTAACTACAATGCATCAAGGGCAAGGCTCCTCTTTGCCTAATTGTGGGGAGGTTCAAAGGGGAGTGAAGCTGCTCAGATTAGATTGTGCTGCAGGAGGGGAGGCGGGGAGGGGGTGGGAGAGGCAGAACAACGGAGGTGTAGTATCAGGGGGAAGGAAGAGACAAAAAAGAGAGATACAAGTGGGATGACAGAGGGTGGTAGGGAGGGAGGAGAGGGGAGGAGGGCTGGAGCCGAGAGCAGAACAGAGGGGAGGAAAACGCAGAGCCAAACTTGCTCCCTTCTGCTGCCAGCACATTTCATCCTATTGTCTTTTTTTTTTTTTCTCCTCTCTTTTCAATGAGCTTTGCCAGTCACAGTCCATCGCCCAGATGAAGCTCTGGGCCACTAGTTTGGAGAAGATATAAGGCGACTGCACCCGCCAGCCTGCCAAGATTGTGATACGGGTTTGCCAAAATTGCCACTGTATTATTTTTCTGGTTTTATGTTGTTCGAGCAAACAAGGGCAATGACTTCCACTTTGGAGTGTTCTGCCGCATTAATATTCAATGTTGCGCAGGCCAAGAAAGCAACAACACCATAAAAAAAGAAAGGCATGTGAGTGTTTCAAGGCTAGTGAGGCTTTTTTTTTCCCCTCCCTCCTCTCTGTTCATATTATCAAAACCATCTACTACAAATCCTCAACACAAGAGGGCCTGTAAACAAATTCCTGCTATTCAGATCTGCCGTGTTTTCCTTATTAATGCACTACGTCTCCTGATAAACTCGACATGAGCAGGAAAAAATCATTGAGAAAACAGTGGTCACTTCTGAAATTTCAATCTGAGCACCCATGCATGAGAACACACACACACACACACACACAAACGCCCTTTCTCCTTTGTTTCTGTGCACTTGGCAGGTACGCCGTATGCAAATTCTCCGCATGTTAAATTCAAATGACATGGCAGCTCTGCGGGCTCATACGAGGTGGTGATGAATACAATTAGTTTCACGTTGCTAATGCATAAATGATGACTCCCCGTGGAAAGGAAGGGAGCGTCCTCTGTCAAAATGCTGCGGTATACGCAGCTCCGAATCCTCCCCAATGTTTCCTCATCTGTAAGCTAACAGAGAGTGTCATGATAAATGTGTTTAATACCCAGAGTGCCATTAGAGCGGACTAAATTTCTCCACGCGCTCACTTTAACATACATTCATGACAGGAAGTTGGCCACCTGCGGGCCTTGTTAAGTCTTGCAGCTTTGCAGGTCTTGAAACAAGGTGTTGTCAGGCGCAATTAGAACGACAAAAAACCTGATCTAAATCCAGAGTCAGTTCATGATGTTAGAAAGTGCATGACTGAGAGAGTTTCTTTACCTGAGCTCTGTGCAGGCTGAAACCAACAACAAGCTCTCCATCATGCGCACTCTTTTTAAGAGCTTGCATAAACACA